GCCGCAGTGACCTCCATCGGCCAGAAAGAAGTCTACTCAGAATATGATCCAGAAGCCAGGAGAACCGGGTGACCTCGTCGGCCGGGTCTTCATCGACCATGCCCTCATCGGCCATAGATAGCCTCTAGAACAGGATTTTATACTTAGTCATTTCTGTACACTTTGTATTCGGCCCATTAGAGGCCTTGTTGTAAATGGGCCTCCCAAGCCCAAGCCTTAGGAGCCCAGCCCGTATTTTCCCTATAAATACTTCCTCTGGGAGTAGTTGTAGGGGTTGACAAATCATTTATTGCAAAGAGTTATTGCACTTCTCTCTCTAGCTCTCACTTCTCTCTAGATATATAATCTATCAATTGTATTAGGTATTTATACATGTGAGTTACATATTTTTATATGTGAAGTTACATATTTTTACACGTAAAGTTACATATTTCTACACGCGAGTTACATATATATACACACGAGTTGCATTTGACATGCCTGAACGCGAGTTAGATATATTTACACGTCAAGTTACATATTTTAACACGTAAAGTTACATATTGATACACGCGAGTTACATATTTATACACAAGAGTTGCATTTGACCTGTCTGAACGCGAGTTACATATTTTTTTACGTAAAGTTACATATTTTTACACGTAGAGTTACATATTTATACACACGAGTTGCATTTGGCCTGACTGAACGTGAGTTACATATTTTAACATGTAAAGTTACATATTTTTACATGCAAATGTTAATATGTTAAAATTACATAGGCAATATTGGCCTCATTTGAAAGATCGTGAAAAAAAAATTGATATAAATTTTATAAAAATCGGATCAAAAATAAAAAATTATTAACATTTTTAAGAAAAGGAGAAATAAAAAATAACAAAGTCCACTGCAATTTGGGATGGTATACCATGCGCACCGTGGGACGGTTGCATGGTATACGAACTGCTCATATGTAGTGTTTTTTGGTATAAGATAAGATAAGCTGGCTAATAAACAAGCGGGGAAATATTCACTTATTGTACTCCATTTTTTGAAGCATATTGTACTCTATTTTTGAAATGATGTAGAATTGTAAGAATTTTTTTTAAATTTAATTAGATCGTGAACAAAATATATATATGGATCAACTGCTTTTTCTCGTGCGTATGCACGGGTACTGTGCTAGTTTTACAAAAAACACAAGTGTTTTGCTAATGTATGACTAACTATGTTTTGTATGCATGTATGACTACTTATAATTAAAATCATGGACGCATGGGTGGTATACTTAGAGAAATAACCATAATACCCTTATAATTAAATTTGTTTTAATAATACCTATTGTGTCAACATGTTCATAATTTCATGTACAACTAAAAATGCCCACGGCTAAAAAAATTGACTACAAGAGAATTAGGAACAAATTTTAGGTCATCAGTAACAGAGAAGGTCAATGGAGAAACAAAAGGGCGTTTAATAAAAGGAAAGATAACGAAGAGAAAAGTAAGGTCTCGAGAAGGATAAAGAAGACGACAAAACCAGAAGATAAAACTTCCACAACTATGACATTGGATGAAGGAATTGAAAGATAATTACTAGAACATGTGTGTTCTAAGATGCACTAATCAGTGTATCATCATACTCAACATTTATTTTTATAAAACCTAACAAATATGTGTTGTTGTACATCAATGGAACACATACATAAGGTGAACAATATTTCTTATAATACCTGACGACTACTTGTAGTCATACATAATTGGAACATGTGTGCTCCGGATGACAATAAATTAACACAATGAATAGGACGTAAAAACACAAATGATGGTACATATGTATGATGACATTTATGATGTTTTTAATCAGACTTAGACAAATAGAACAGACCAGATCAGATCAATGTTCTATTCATCCGTAAATCCTTGTAATCCATATATGATCCATATATGAAATAAGCAGTAAACACAAAAATGGAAGTAAATGTGTAAGAGCGCTGTAAATGTGCGCAAATTATACCATGGGATCGGTGAACCTTCCTCAAGGTGTACCGATCCCAAAACGACATCGTTTTGTTAAAAAATTCAAAACCTCCTCCGCCCTCTCTGTAATTGCGCATCTATTGCAGCGATGGAATACGTAGCTATGGGATAATACCCCCCCCCCCCCCCCTACTCTGCATCTGCGCTTCCGCCTCCGTCAGTTCGCTGATGGCCGTCCAGGCTGCCGTCGCCCTCCCGGAGTTCCAATTTATGGTCTCAATATGCAGTTGAAAGGTGGTCGCCCTCCCTGGTTATTTGGATATTCCGTCGTTGCTGTGTTGAGCGCCGTCGCAAAATTCGCAACTCCATTTAGGAGGTTGTTAATCTGGACGTTTTGTTAATTCTATTAATTAATTCTTTGTGTCTATAACTATCTTACGACACGTACAACATTGACACCATTTTTGCATGAGAGATTCTCAATTATGTACTTCCTATATTTAATTTAGGAAGAATATAATGAAGTACTTCCTAAATTACATAATAAGTAATAGCCATATATTGGGAATAATAACCGATAAAAACATACATTGGGAAAGAAATACGGAGTATCATTTTATACACATGGCAGATAATTTTCTCAATGGACTATGATTTGTTTGCAAAGATGAAGAAGCTAGAGGAAGGATAACCAAACAGAAAATCCAGGATTTTGAAAAGAGAATGGAAACCAGTAAAAAGAAACAGATAGAAAAAAAAACAAAGAATAAGAATAAGAATAAGAATAAGAATAAGAAAAAATTTAAATCCACATAGTTGCCATGTAAGGAATGGTTTTTTGTGATATAGTAAAAATGTTTCACGTATTCCTAAAAATATATTACAAAAAAGACTTATATTTGACATATTCCTAAAAATAAGAGGATTTTACAGGAACAACACAAATAAATAGAAAATAAAAGGGGGCAAAGACACTATATATATTTCCTCTGATCTCAAACATATTTTTTATTTACTCTCATTTTATGGGTTCATTTTAAATAATCCGAAGCTAGCTCCAATCCCCACTTTTTTTGTTGAGCATAATATATGTCTGGACTCGATGTGTAGGGCTTGTACATTATACGCTGTTGCAGCCCCATCCACGTCAAATAGTAAACAACTTAAAAAAGGTACGAGAAAGCATATATATATATAGTTCATAGATTTATTTTTACATGAATATATCAATACCCAATTTTTTAAAGGAAAATTCTTTTTGTACACGCCAAGTTTTACACGCCGGGTTACACGCATGTCAAATTGTCTGTGTACAGACAATTTGATCGACTACACAGACATATTGAGCGGCGATTTACGAAGAAAACCGATTTTCACACAGATAAAAATAAAAAAATGTCTGCATCACAGACACTTTATGAAAAATTCAGGTTAAAAATGTCTGTTATACAGACAACTCTTGATATTTTGTCAGTATGGAAATCGATTTTTTTCATAAAACGCCGGTTAAATTATCTGTCTAGTCGATCAAATTGTCTGTATACAGACAATTTAACCGGCGTGTAATCCGACGTGTAACCCGGTGTGTACACGAAGCTGGACTCTTTTTTAAATACCAATAGAACAGATATCAAGTTTTAAATACAAATCAGTCAACTAAAATATTATAGCCCAGAAACAGTTTCAGCCACCATTCTTCAAGACGCCAACTTTTATTATTGTTCTCCTGTACATGCATAATTCATTGGCCGGTTGGACACGCGCGTTCCCAGCCAGTTTCAAGTTGGACTGACTTTCTTCTCTTTTTCTAGTGAAATTGCACTGGTTTTCTACTCCAGAAACGTCTTCGAGTTCTATTTCCACTTCTAAATCAATTTGTAAGTTTCAGATCTCAATCTCCCAGAACAAGGCTCATAACTACCGGTTCAGAACTGAACCGGGTAAACCGATTGTCGTTAAAGTGTAGTACTTCTGCCAAAGGAACCAGTCTGTCTAGACTCTAGAACTGACCGTGTTTCATCCTAAGGGTGTGTTTAGGAGTTGAATTTTGGAGGGAAGGGGAAAGTTGAAAACCCTCCCTTTCATGTTTGGGAGTTTAAAAATATGAAGATGATGGTTTTGGTGGGCTTTTGTAACCTTCAAATGCTTCATTTTCAAGTTTCCCCAAATTGGAGTATTTTGAAGGATCGTTAATTAAATGACAATTTTAGCTCAATTTTAAATCAATATATATTCAACTATTTGATTTCATCATATATGTGAAATGATTTTAATTATAACTCATTCACAACCTCTATCTTTTCAAATTTGTTACTCCCAAACAAGAAGAAGGGGTCTCCTCCCCTTTCCTTCCTCTTCCCTTCCAATGACTAACCTTCAAAATCTTCCCCTGCCATTCTCTTTCGAACTCCCACACATACCCTAAGGAATCTAACCGGAGAACAATTTCTTATCAGAATCTAACAGGTTAATGATCATATATATATATAGGAGAATGTGAGCTAGCAAGCACCCTAAATCTTCTTCATATAAAAAACCAAGTAAACATAGGAATCAAGCATCAAATATCACGAGTCCATGATGTTTTTGCTGCTGCTGAAGTCTTATGCATAGGGATGGACTGGTCCCAGGTCAGGATTGGGTGGGACAGGGGTTTTGGGCTGCAGGCCCGATACCAGCCCGGGTTTTGACCGGGACCAGGACGGGTATATTTTTTTTTTAAATTACCCTTTTCGCATTCATTCCTACCCCCACCCCCACCCCCAAACCCCGCCACGACACTCAGCCCAACCCACCTAGAAGCAGCCCAATGCGAAAATCTAAAAAAAAATGATAATTTGGGCCCGGACCGGCCGAGCCGGTCCACTATATATGGATCCCATAGACCGCGCCTAATACCATCGGTTCGGGCCTGCAGTCCCGGTCCCACACATTTACGGGCCGGCCCGGGTACCGGGTCGGGCCGAACCGGCCCAGTCCATGCCTAGTCCACTTGGTCATAATAAAACAACTAATCAAAATTCAAAATTATAATATCATTACATTGCAAATGCCGGTATAACTCCTCATATTCTTGTTGTCATATACTGTATAGCACAACAAAAAACAAGTATGTAACATATGAGGCTTTAGGAGATGTTTCAAACCAAATAAAATCTTAATGAATGAAAGCAATTTCTGACTTTATTGTTAAGGGGCGAGTAAGACGCTTAATCGTCTGCTTAAATTCAAACTCCATGCGGGAGGAGAACTTTTTGCAACAAGAAATGGACAACTTCTGACATGTCGGAAAGCAGGCAAGTAATCCCTTCATGAAGAGCATTTCCGTCTTTGATCCCTTGATTATGGAAATGTTCAAAGTTCTGAGCATGTAATGTGTTTCATGCATTCCATGAAGCCCCTCCAAAAGGTTAGATATATCTCCAATACTAGTAGGCGAGTCTGAATCATGAAACTGCACAAAGTTGATCCAAAAAAGAAAAATTAAAAAAAAAATGAAAATTCACAAAAATAACTAAAGATACACAAAAATTATCTCCATAAATAAGAATTACCTTAAAATATAAGCTCAGTTCGCGTAATCTTGGGCATTTCTGAAGCAAATTAGTGAAATGATAAATATTGTCAAATTTTGGGTTTAATACACCTGATATCTCCAGATATTCTACATTTAATGCTGTCCGTTGTAGTCCCTTTCTATTATATTCATCAACGAAGTACTTGCATATCGATAGAAAAAAAATGGATCAGTCTCTATAAGTGAAATATTATATATAAATAAATAAGAGTGCAAAAAACTTGTAACTAATATACCTCAATGGAATCACAACACAAATGAAGCTTATGAATAGATCTCAAATCCAAGTGAAATGGGAGAAAGCCACCACCTAATGTGTCAATGTCCTCATCCTCAACATCCTCACTACCACTGCCACCGCCATCATCATCGCTAAAATCATCGTCTTCTTCTTCCTCATCATCACTACCAATGCTATCACTGTTGCTGTCACTAGCACCACTACTAAAGCCATCACTGTCCGCGTCATCATCATCACTGCTAAAGCTAACACTATTGTCGTCGTCAACATTATCATCATCATCAACAACAAATCCATTACCATCATCATCTTCATCATCAACATCATACATGTCGTAAGAAGAACAATTGTTGATTGTTAAACTACCAAGCTTTGGAGCCATAATGTTAAAACAAAATATGCCAACACAGCGGTTAAAAGACATATCCTGAAGCAAAGGAACATCGATGGCACAAGGTAGAAGATTCTTATATCCAAAGTAGACATTTCTGAAATAAAGCGAAGTGACATTTGGGAAAATACAAGGGGGGCTTATAGGTTCAATTCTAACACCAGTGAGATGCAATATCTTCAATGTCCGGCATGTATAGATGCAATAAGGCAATCGATATTTCCTGAAACAGTCATTATCTGATTCAATGTAGAGTTCTTCAACACCTTTCTGCGTGACGAATCGGAGCAACTTATCAAAATCAGGCTTATATACTGGCCAACAATAGTAAAAGGAAAACTTTCGAATAGGTCCTCTATGGTGCTTGAGGACTTTTTTGATTGCATCCAGATAGTGATATACCCCGTAAAATTTTGCACGAGCAAAGCCGGGGCCAAAGTTGAGCTGTGTAAGACCATACCAAGCATCTCTCAGAAAAGTGGACAGAATAGCTGTTCTAGCTGCTTCTTCAATTGACAATAATCCCAAGATATTGTCAAGTATATCCAAAGGGAGTTCATTGATTCTATCTCTGCCCTCCATATTCAAATAGCTGTAACTTTTTCAAGTCAGATTAAAATGAGAATCATTAGATCAAAACTAAAAGAATAAAACATGAATCCATAATGGATTAACTTAGCTAAATTAAATAATAAATGACGAGTTCCAATAGTTGGCAGAAAGATGCGAATCATGAACATGAATATGAAAATTCAGAGAAGATAGTAATTAAATTCACATGTTATTTAATAAAGAAATGAGTAAACTAATGTAGTTCTACAAATCAAGTATTAGAAGGTGAGGAACTGAGGAATACGTAAAGCGGGTTTTGAAGAAGTTACTTGCCAGTGTGTTCCGTTCCTGCAGATCGATTATTGGAAGAAGTGGAACGATGCTTCCGCAGAGAAAAGATAGGGGTGGCTTGAGAGATGAAACAGGACGGGGGGCATTTCAAAATGGGGTATCTTGAAGAAACGGCTCTAAGTAGCAATCAGAGATTTCTATTTTCAATTAATTTCTCTTTTGGTCCTATTAGTTTTAGAAATAATGGCAAGAATATCACCTACAAGATTTCAATGGACAAAAGTATGACTAATTTAGGTTAAGACAAAAAAGTGACCAGCCCATATTTCCCTCTCGTCTCTCCCATCTGCATCTACTGCGTCCAAGGCTCCCAGGCGAACAGCCTCCAACCACCTCTGCCGGATCTCTGCTTTCTCCGCATCCACATCTCGAGTGTTGACTCCATAGGCACCTCATCTCCTCCATTCTTCTCCTTTCTTCATTGTCTTCTTCGATTCTCTATGGAGGGGGTCGAAATCCTTCAGATCTGTAGATGCCGTGACAGAGATGTGGCGGGCGGCTGCGAGTGTTGGTATGGCGACCGACGAGATCGATTGGAGTTTGATGATGACGAAGAGCGGTGGCTATGGCTGTGATGGAAGCTACGGTGACGGACTACGACCGGTGGTGCAGGGCTTGTGGTTGGGGGTGAGAGCTGTTGTCCGGGGAAGGTTGGTGGTTGGCTGGCCAAATCTGATTTACGACCACAAGCGACGTGCAGCCGCGTAGGGTTTCATGGCAGCGGTGGTAGGGCCATTGCAGGGGAATTCCAAGGGGCAGTGGTAGCGCCGTTGCAGGGGGTTGGGTTGGGATAGTGACAGTGCAGAGGCTGGAAACGTGTTGTTCAATTTCGCCGGAAAAGGTCGTCAGAAATGTTGCCGGAAAAGGTCGTAGGAAAGGTCGCCGGAAAATTCTTCAGTGGTCATAGTGACTTGTTTCACGGTAGTGACATTCGAAAGTGGCACGAAGATATGGCAGTGATATGGTGATAGTGACATAAATTTAGTAGTGACATCAATTTTCCCAAATATATGTGGTCACATTTTTGGTAGTCAATTTTGTTCATGAATTTTTGTCAATATTTAAAAGTGGTCACATTTTTGGAAATTGATCTAAATTTAGTAATATCTAGGGGAAAACCCCTTAGTTTTATGTAAATTTCACATTTAGTCCACGTATTTCACTTTATTCACTTTTGATATTTGATTAAAAAATTTCGACAATTTTTGGTCCTTCTCTGATAATTTAAACCACCCGAAACATTGTCGGAAAGACCATATATGGACGAAAACACAATAGTCATGTATCAAAAGTGGACAAAGTGAAAGACGTGAACTAAACGTGAAATTGGAATAAAATTCATAGGACCAAAAGTTGAATTTATTCTTTCTATTTTAATTGGAACAAAATTTTGTGTTCTGCTTTGATTTAGTATAGTCTAATCTGAACCAATCTGGTATATAATACATCTTCGTCCCTTAAGGCCCTGTTTGGTTGGAGGATTTAGGAGGGGAGGGGAGGAAAGTATGGGATTTGTGTGTCTTTGGTTGAAGGAAATACGGGGGAAGAGGAGGAAAGTGGAAGGCAATTTATACCGTGGAACCGGCGCAGCATGAGGATGGTGCGCACGGTTGCAAAACGACGTGTGCTTCATTCAAAACGACGCAGCTGCAGTTTCATTCCATTATTTTTTATTTCTTTTATTGTTAAAAATTGTAATAACTTTTTTATTTGATATCCGATTTTTATAAATTTTATATCAATTTTTTTTATTTTTCATGATCTATCAAATGAGACCAATATTGCTTATGTAATTTTAACAAATTATTTTGAAGTTACATTTGATAATATATCATTAAGTTACATCTTCTTCTGCGCGAGTTACATCTTATTGTACGTGAGTTACATCTTAATATACGCGAGTTACATCTTAATGTATGTGAGTTACACCACGAAAAAAAACCCTGCTACATCTTTCATTTTTATCATTTGAAAAATAGTGTATGAATATGAAATACAATATACTTATTTTATGTGGATTAATAAAATTTTGTATTAAATTGACAAAGAAAAAAATTAATTCAGTTATAATTGAATTAGTTCAAGATAAAAATAAGTAAAAAATCACAAATAATTAGATATAACTCACACATAATTACGTGTAACTCGCGCATAAAAGTATGTAATTCGTGTATAACAAGATGTAACTCACACATAATAAGATGTAACTCACACATAATAACTTCTAACTGGAGTATAAGATGATGTAACTTCGTATATTATCAAATGTAACTCCAAGCTAAAAGCAAAATAAACAAACTCAATATCTTAAAAACCTCTAAAAACATATAAAAGTGATAAAAAAATATTATAGAAAAAGTGTATGCATATAAAAATATATTACAAAAAATGTATGAATGTAAAAAATTAAAATTACATAGGCAATATTGGTCTCATTTGAAAGATCATGAAAAATAAAAAAATTTGATATAAATTTTATAAAAATCGGATCAAAAATAAAAAAAATTATTAACAATTTTAAGAAAAGGAGAAATAAAAAATAACAAAGGGTGTATGATGTTCACCATGCACCGGTTCCAAGGTATAAGCACTAAAAGTGGAAGACTTTCAAAATCCTCCACTTCCTCCCATTGTAAACCCCTCAAATCGGGGTATTTCGGAGGAAACGTGTTGATAACCACAAACTATCCATCTCCTACGTGAATGAAAAAACGTTATAATTTAAAAGGTAAAAAACAAAAAGTTTTGAAAAATAAAAAAATTTAAAAATTAAAAAATTTAAAGATAAAAAATTTAAAAATTAAAAAATTAAAAATTTTTAAAATTAAAAAATTTAAAAAATATAAATTAAAAATTTTAAAAATTAAAAAAAATATTTAAAAAATAAAAATAAAAAATAAAAAATTCCAAACTGAAAAATGAAAAATTATATAATTAAAAAAGTAAAAAAACAAATAAAATAAAATTATGACTCATGACCATAGGAGTAATATTCACATTAGTTAGACATGTATCTATTTTTTTTAAGTATGCTATGTGATGGAGTATATGGGTCTGAGCTCCAGGACCCACATACTCGGAAGAACAGAGCACAAGACAACAGAGTGGCGCCCTCGTCGGCCAAGACGCCCCCGTCGGCCGGAAGGGGGCCAACTCAGATTACGGTCCTGAGTTTAAGGGACTCGGGTGCCCTCGTCGGCCGTGCCCTCGTCGGCCGTGCCCTCGTCGGCCACGCCCTCGTCGGCCACGAAGACCTCCCAGAATCGGATTCTATACTTACTCATTTGTACGGCCCATTAGAGGCTTTGTATTCGGCCCAGTAGCGGTCCAGTTGTAAATGGGCCTCCCAAGCCCAAGGCTTGGGAGCCCAACCCTAATTTTCTCTATAAATACTCCCCTTGGGAGTAGTTATAGGGTTACGAAATCATTCTATTGAAGCATATTATTGCACTTCTCTCTCTAGCTCTCACTTCTCTCTAGATATACTCTATCATTTGGTGCTCTCGTTGAGAGCTAGAACAATCAAGTTAGCACCCTTCGTCGCTACCAAGCACAGCTAACCACTGATCATGGGGAGAACTAAGTCAAACCGCAACCTCGTCAGCAAAGTCATCCCTGAGGACCAAGAGCCCAGGGAGCACGATGAGGACGCCACGGCCGACCAGGTCGGCGGAGGGGACCTCTTCCAGGAGGCCTTCAACCTCACGACGGACCTCCGCAACCAACTCAACGGCGGAGTCCCCGACGCCCGCCTCGGCCTGGAAAAGAAACGAGCTGAGAAGGCGGACCACGCCCCGGCCCAGCCTATGGCCGCGGCCTCTCCGTCCGTAGATCCTCAGGTCCAGGCCGCGCTGTCGGTCATCATCGCCAGCCTAGCTCAGAACCCCACCGTCCTCAGCGCACTCTTGCCAAGGACCGGGGGAAACGTCACTCCACCTCCTCATCCCCAACCACTGGCCGACCAGATAGGCAACAATGAGGGGGTTGTGGCCCAGGACACGGCGTCGTCCCACTCCCACCCTGCTTCCCCTCTTCGGCCCGGGCAGACCCCAACGCGTGGAAAAGCCTCTGCCTTCAATAGGCTGGGTGACACGCGCCGTCGTCCGGTTTCGGAGAGGATGGCGGGACGGATTGGTGATCCTCGTCCTGGCTCGCCAAGGGAGAGTCTGGGGTCTGTGTCCCGGACAGCGGACCAGCCACGCCCGGACAAGGGCAAGGGGAAGTTGCACGAGGATGACGTGCGTCACCAGATCAACGCGGCTCACAACGAGCGCCTGAGGAACCAGCCGGGTGCCGCCGCGGCCGACAGAGACCCCCGGGACGAGGTCATCGCCCAGCTGGAAAGGAGGTTGGCTCAGATGGAGGCCAAGCAGTCGGCCAACATCCCTACGGCCGGCGCCTCCAACGACCCCGGCCTCAACGCGCTCATGAACAAAGTCAGCGCCCTGGAGAGGGAGCTGGCCGAAGGGCGGGGTGACCCCATCATCCAGGTCAGGACTAGGACCCCTTTCACCAACAGGGTCCTCTCGGCCCCCATCCCTGAGAAATACAGGGGGAACGCCATCAAGTCCTACGATGGCCGATCAGACCCCCAGGAGCACTTCAGCCGTTATCAAAACAACATGCTGATGGTGAACGCGTCCGACGAATACCTCTGCCGTTGGTTCCTCTCTACTCTCGAGGGGCCAGCGTACGATTGGTTCAACGGGCTGCCAGAAGGAAGCATCGACTCATGGCAGGATCTCGCCCAGCGCTTCCTCACTCACTTTGCCGGGAGGAAGCGCGCGAAGAAGTATTTCACCCACCTCCTCTCCGTCAAACAGCAGCACGAGGAGTCCCTCCGGTCATTCATCGACCGGTGGACGAGGGAGACCGAGGAGGTCGAGGGGGCCGATGAGCGCACCCTCCTCGCCTTGTACCAGGGAGCCCTCCGCAGCTCCCCGTACGCCAGGAGTCTCATCACCGACCCCCCGAGGTCGTACGCCAAGGCGCTCCAACGCGGAGGCTTGTATGCCGACGCCGACGAGCTCCACAATCACAAGAGAGAGGGGGGCCATCCCCCCAGGAAGACAAATCCTTCACCGGCCCCGGGTCCGTCCCCGGCCGGCCAGGGTGCCCAG